ATTACTAACCCCCCCCCCCACACACACACACATATGGCTGAAAGGGCGAGTATGTTTGGTGTGACACGGATTCGAACCCGCAGATTGCGAGTCGAGCACCCTAACCACCTGGCCATGCCGGGCCAAGTTAAATGGTATACGTCCAGACAAGTATTCTTCTGTTTGGGAATGTGATGGTCCCGTTGAAAGTGAGTACACATCTAATGATGGTATTGTTTCATTATTGCTCATTCCCAAATTTGGCAATTCACTGTTTTGTAACATTGTTTGAACCATTCCTCTGACTCCATCTTAATGGATGTTGGTGTTGATTTTAGTGTTGAACTGAAGGTAGACTAGGCTTCACTGGCAGGCTAGGTGTCATATATCTTAGCTGATCCACCCGTCAGCAGGTTTATACTTACAGTTTATTTCAAATATCAAATATTAAAATTAGATCAAATTATTTATTTTCGTCAATATGTTGCTTCACAGCTGTATTCTAAGTGTAATTGAGTTATTCATCTTATACAATACTCATAAATGTAACATCTGCATATGTGTTTAACACTACTTGCCTATATATATATATATATATATATTCATACACATATATCTAAATTTTACAAATTATCACATATACTGTTAGTGTTAGATAGACTGCCCCTGACACGTTCACTGTTATCATATCCCTATCACTGTAGTACCATAAGGTGCTGCCATTTATAAGCTGCTAAACTCAATACATATCTTAGACATCACGAAACAAATAATAGCTATCAGAAATCGAATGAACTAGGACATTTCAACAAACAAATTATTTTAGCCAGGATTAATATTCATGATATATATACACACACTCAGACTAACTTAAGCTAAATACAATATTCCGCATTAAAATATGTTTATTGTCCTAGATGGCCACTAACTTCAGTAAGCCATTCACAGAAAATTAAACATAGGCAAGATCCAGTGAAACAAGAACTTTTCCACTTACATTTAACAACATGATTCATATTAAATGCTGAGAAAGAATGCAACTCATTCACTGCACATGGAGGAATTATACAAATGTTGTTGTGTACAAGATATATCTATGGGGATTATCACGTGGTATGCTTTACAAAATTCACCTACTGCCTGGCTAGATAAGGTGAATGATCTCGCGAAATGTCTGAAGAACATTTTATCTTAGAAAGTTGCTCAGAAAGTAAGGATCACAATGCCTTTTCAGCTAAGCTGTTGAACTCCTAGTGGTCATCCTCACTCATGCAAACTGTTAATGTTCTAGGCAATAACCAATGAGCTATTAGCCTACATCCTACATTTCAGTAAACTATTCTTGAAATACCAGAAAGTTTAGAACATTCTTTTGGTCCTATTAATCTTGAAATAAATAAACTATACTAATTTTCATAAGCAAGTGGCAATCACACAATATAGTAAATACATTTTATAGTGAAAAACTACTCGATAGCTCAGAAAGTAAGGAATGGCACTTTCTTTCAGTCATTGATCTGACAATCAAGTGACTTTCCTAGCTGCTGTTGTAGTAGTTAATCCAAGCCATAATGAACAGGAGATAAGGGTTGCCTTGTGCCTCTTCTCTAGGTGGTTCCTCATCTGACTCATACAGCCAGGTAAGTACTTTCAGCATTTTCCTCCTTATCGCCTGAGCAGATATTATATGAAACAGCACTTTCAATACCTCCAGCCTCAACCTGTGATTCCTGTTTTAGCTGGTGCACCAGAGGTTTGTTAATAACTTGTAATCTTAGCTTGCTGACATATTTCATGTTCTTAAGCATGCCATGTGACTGCTGTAACTTGTACATTAATGGTAAAAGTTATTTGAGAACAAGCTAAGGACCTGTCTAAACAGAGCCAAATTGCTTCCGTGCCACTGGCATGTATCAAAGTCATTCCCAGTCTCCAGGCTGGAATGTTTGTTCCTTAACTTCTTTATCATAGCATCTGTTCTGCTTTGTGATGCATTCTTTACCAGCTGATATGATGACTTGTGTCTATCAACTAATACAGACATTAATCATTCCACATACTCTTGTTGAAGAACTGGCAAATATATAAGCCTTGGCTTATTTGCTGAAATATCAAATCACCTTGTTCAGTTTCTGGGAGATGACCAGCAATATCCAATATCTGTAAAAAAGAACCAACAATTTTTTTGCTGGAGATCACGTTGTTTAGGATGGCATTTATGATATGCAACATATAGTATACAATGTTTATACTATTGCTTAACATCTCGACACTGTTATAGGTTAATACAAGTGTATCATGCTGTGGTGGCCTCCATCCTTCATGTTATGTAAAACCTGTTTTATTTCCTCCTTAAGACTAGTTGCTGAAAACACCAGTACAATAGTTGCTTCTACTAACGCTACAGATTATACACATCAATGGCACATTTCTCAATCTGTATGCTGGCTAAACTTCATTTTGATGAATGACAAGGAGTTCCCATGCTATATCTGGTTCCTTCAGTGAAGCTTAAATCATGATATCCAACCACTAGTGGTATATCCTACCATATGGTTTGATACCATTATGGTAGTAATGACTTTCACTTCCTCATGGTGTCCATGTTAAGGGCATTCAACAAATGGACAGTATTTCACTGTGTAACAAGCTAATCAGTTGGCATTTCTATTTTGTGGGCTTGGGCAATGAAGAACAACGAAGATGTACTCTTGTAACATTGTTTCTTTATGCAATCATCCCCTCTGGGTTTTTCAAGTTCATGGACCAGTTCAGCAAAGCATGGTCCACCCGAATGATGAACTTTCTAACATACAAGTGGTGTTTGACGAAGACTACAAGTGCAGGTGGTTTTTCTTCACCATGCAATCTTTATATTCAGAAGCCATAGGTGTATGAATGCCATCCATGATTACATGTTCCATGCCAAACTGAAATTCCAATAAAACTGCCTCAATTCTACTATCACCGACAACAGTACCCAGAAGGAGTTCGCAGTTTCAATGTTTACTTTCTTGCTCTGGAGCTTCAACTGAAGAATGATTTAGTCACTGAAATGATTTGTCGGATTTCTCTGTTAATTTAGAAATAATGCATCAGCATCAGTAAGAACTAATATTGGTGAGGCAATTTTGAAAGTTATCAACGAAACGAATGTAATAGAACATAAAACCAAGGAAACTGCAGACTTCTCACGTGGTTACCTATTCTTCTGAGTCATTCACCTATGGTATTATGTGTGCCTTCTAATGTGAGAAAATTATCTAAAGTAGAATATACTATGTGAAAGTAGACAGTAATGTTTTCTACTGATGGTTCAAGTAATACCTCTTTGATGCCTAGAAATGTCGTTGTAGCACTTCCAGATAAACTATTTTTCTTAACAGATTTGATAGAAGCTATAAATAACGAGAGGCTCAGCAGAAGTAGCTTTATAGAGTTAAATCTGTGTTTCTTGATTTTGGCTCAGTTCTGAAAAAGAAAGAGATTTTTCAAACTATATGAATACAATCTTTATTCAATTCGCAAAGTAAAATTAAAATTAGAAGTATATAACTGTAGGATGGCACTTTTACTGGACATTTCAGAAATATACAGATCTATGTTATGCGAGAGCCTCCAAATCTGTAAGTTTTGTTTTCAAATTGCGGGCAGGACTGTTATGACAATCAGTCTGACAAGTTAAATAAGGTTTGAAATTAAGATTATTATAGAATTAACTCAAACCGTGCACTCCAACTTTATAAAAGAATGATAAGCTTGTCGAAGGGTGTGTAAATATGTCTAAACAGAGTTCAATGTGAATAATGATAAACCTACAAGGAAAACACGGATTCAAAAGGACAGTGACTGAAGGATTGATAGTGTAATGGCTGAGACAGTCATGAATTTCACCCTTCCCTAACTAATTTAGAATATATCTTTAGTCAGACATACTTTAGTGTAAATTTATCCTAAACTTCGCGCAATGTTTTGCATATAATATGACATTCTTGTTAACCATATGACAGAAACTCGCATCACTCTGGTCATGTCTGAACCCCCTGGGGAAAGGCGAATCTTTCTTAAGTGGAAGTCTGATGCTTGTACAAACTGATATGTATTAAGGGTTTTCTTACATATAAATATTACTTGGAACAGTCTTTGACGTATACAGCGTTGGATTTTGGCATACCGCACTTTCAGCGTTAGTTCTAAATTTCTACGATAAATCAGAATTTCCTCTGTCTTTTTCTTGTACGAATAATAAAAGAATACTTCTTTTTGTTTTACTTCTATGTGAAAAGTGCTTCTCTCAACTTTAGTAGCCAGTTAAGATACAACAAGATTAGAGGCCGGTCAGTGAGTGAAATACACTTAACGATACGTTTTCCATTGTAAATAAATATATATTCATTTATAACGAAAAAAAAAAAAGTTTTAGATATCCACGACGGGCCAAACACATATAAATCACTATGTAGGTTTATGCCTACCAAACAAAGACAATTTGTGGTAAAGTAAAGATAATTTTATCGGAATATATTTCTAAAACATTTTACTACTTTTGCTAAACAACTAAAAAGTAAAATACGAGCAAGAAAAATATATATATATATTAAATTTTCGCTTTCCATTATTTATATATAATATGTCCAAAAGTTCGTAAAAATGAAATAACACTAGATTTTATGAAGGAATAAAAAAATACCTAATACGGAAAAAGGTTTTGGTTATCGTTACTCTACAAATGTGTCTTTAAACAAAAAAGAAAGAGAAGGAGTTTGTAAATTGTAGTTTTATAAGTTATATTTATCAGCAACAATTAACAACTTATTATTACTTCACAACCTATTGAAAAATGAAATCACACATTTTTCCAGATAGGATTACACATTTCCCACTTGATCATTGATAAAAAAATAAAACATTGAGTGGTTAGTATGTTAAAATCGGTAATTTTTATATAATGGTGTACGTAACATAATATTGTAAAGGTATCTTAAATTCATCAAAACAAATAAGATTTTTTAAACAAATGCTTTTATTTTTAAACGACAATAAATTCGGTCAACATGTGATGATTGAACTTAACGCCAGTCCAGCTTCTCTAACAGTACTCGAAGTCGAATCCAATGTGTCTAAGCGACTGTTAAAAACAACGTCATTGGACGACAGTAGGATTCAAAACACAGTCTCTGCCCTAAATTTTGGTGAGTATCATAGTCTTACTTCTTAGAGAAAGTATTATTAATTCAGAAAATAAATATTAAATTACTGATATTTTATCAATAAAAACGATTTCCGTATAGTATACCATACTTACGTTCTAGGAAATTGCTAGTTTGGCGAACCTTTGTTAGGCCGAATTACAATAGGCAAAGTCAGAGGAAAGTCGTATGTATTACCAATATTACATTTTGCAGTGCTAGTAGTGGTACTAGTGGTAGTGTTGCTGTTGCAGCGTTAGCCTAATCCTACTGCAGGCAGGCCTAACGTAGCCTACTAGATATAGTGCTAATAAACAAATGGATTTAAATAAATAAGGAATGGTCATTCGTAGGTGATCGTACTTTTATCTTATTCAATTCCTATAGCTATGTATGATTATCGGGTTAATTATGCGATGATACTGAAGAAGGTAGTTTGTCTCATTCTCGGCGCCTACGTAACTATCGCTAATTTCTTTGGAAATTAGAGACTGTCCTTGAGTTTTAGTGGCGACTATGACGCGTGTTTCTTTATAAACATTGACACGATTTGATGCATACTTACTAATTGTTGCCATCCGGTGGCTTAGCGATAACTAATAACGCTAAAAATCAGGTTTGGATACACGCGGTGGCATACCACAGATAGCTTTGTGCTTAAAATCAAACAGAAACGCTTACTGTCGTTCGGTTCTTGTGTCAATCATGGCAGGTGAACTTTATTTATGTAGTAAATTTTCAAACAGTTGAAAGGTTTGAACAGTAATTATGCAACGTTATACAAAAGAAGTGACATTTTATTTATGAATAATGAAGTGTTACGGAAAGTAACATGGTAAACAGGGTATATTAAAAGAGACTAGTAATACTAACTTAAAATTTGCAAAACTTAATTATTTATTAATGAATCTACTCTCTGATCATAAGTTAAAGTCTACATCATATGGATATAATTATATGTCAATATAATAAATATGTTCCGTTTATCTGTGTGTGTACACAAACACACACGTCACAAATGCTTTTGTGTTAGTTTTGTGTGCTTCACCCGTATATATAAAGGTAGACTAGGGTGATCGTGTAAGTTAATACTACAAACGGATTAATCAAGGTAAAAGGGTTGGTTTCCGAGCGCCATAACCTTATCATTACTTAATAAACATCAAAGAAAGATCAGTTCCGCGTTAGTAATTCTTCTTTGGAATTATTTTGTATTAGCCAACTGTTATTGCAAAACTAACTTACGGTATTATTTTTTACTGCATTTTGTTTGTGTTACTTGTCAGTACAGGTAGTAAGATACAGTTATGATTAGGCCAATACAGTAACATAGTCTGCACAGCTGCCTAACTTACTGTAATATACGGAAAACAAGGGGCCATTTAGCCTTCTAAATAATTGAAGGTTGTCCATGCTCAGTGCACTCCCACCCGTGAGAAAAGTAAAAAATTAAACCCACATTTTGTGTTTCAAGAAATGTCTTAAATTCAAGTAATCTGCCGGCCTCACTTTACTACCGGTGGTAACTTGTTTGACAATCCAATCACCCTGTTAGTGTTAGCGTTAGAAAACACGGTAGTACTTTTTTTTTAAAACAAGTTTAACGTTATTACCATCATAATCATTTCAGAAGTTAACAATTACATTATTTACTTATTTTGTATTCTTCAATTGGTATAAAACCTAAATGTGTATGTTTATTAATTTAGCTAATATCATAATATTAGAAACTTGAGGCATTCTAAATAAGTTTTTGTAAAAACAAAATTGGAAGGTACAGTAGCCCTAACTCAAGCAAAAGGCCTACAGTAGTGTACATAGGGTGAAAGATTTGTTTTGGGTATATTTTTACCAGAAATCAATAATTTTCACATATTAAAGTACATTAAGCAATATGATTTATAAATTACAGATTTACATATTATTAATTACTTCTTATGGTGGGGGGGGGGGGGTTGATGAATTCATGAAAAATAAAAGGTAGTTTTAAATTTTCACATATTCTCAGAAGTGCAGAAGGACAGTTTTGAAGGACCAAATGGCCCTTTGTCATCTGTGGCCAGCACCATTATAATATTTAAATGTAGATTTTAATTTTTTTTTAAGCTTTTGTCTGGCAAGTGTTAGATATCAGCATTTATATATATCCATTTGATATTAAGAAAAATATAAATGTATGTTTAAGCCTGTATTATCTACTAAATATGCGTAGAAAATATCAGTTGAAAGTTCATCATTGACATGAGTTTGTATTTAATGTTAGACATTTTTTTTCAAATTCATATTACCAACTCTTAGAGGATTTGCTTAAAACTACAGATCACTTTTGCAGATTTATCAGTTTTTCATGGCTGAACTTGATTTTGTATGAGAGCATCATATGATCCTTTATTTTTCAAAGTACCACTAGTGAAAAATTTATTTTAAAGAATTTAATTTGTTTTATTCAATTGTGTGTGAAATGTTTAGAGAAAATAGAACGAGTAATTAATTTATTCATATTCTTACAAAGTAATGATTATGTTAATGTTTTTAACATTGTTAATTCAAAAAAAAATTTGACTTAAACAGTTGGTTAGGATTATCAGTTTCATTGTTTAGGGATTTTATGGTGGAAGCTTTGTGAAAAATTTCTGAAACCATTAGTAGTTTAATTCTTTATTGCTGTTAACATCTACTCCCAGTCCAGCTCTTTAGTAACAGCTGGGAAATTAGCTCGATTAAACAATAACAACAAAAAAACAGTTACATATAAACATTGCTTACACTTAGTGTCATGTAAAGTAATTGATTAATCAAAATTAGAATTAAATTGGTTAATGTCATGAAAATAATCAGCTAATCAAAATTAGTGTTTCCAACTATCCAATTCATGTGTGAATAATGGATTAGTTGAATGTAATCGATTAATGATCCCATTGATTTATTAATCAGTTAACAAGTTCCACTAATTGTCTAATTATACTCTTCAACTTTTTTTTTGTCTTCTATATTTAGTTCTTTATTACATGAGATAGTAACAACTGTCTTGAAGTTTACCTTCTGCTAAAGTACCTTATGATTGTTTTGTTTACAAATTTGAGTTTTTTTCAGGGAATAGTTTATTAAAATGAGGTATAAGTGAAAGTTAAAGCAAAAATGTTTTTGGTTTTTGTTTACAAGAACAATTTTTTGCAGGATTGTGATAACCGTGTAAAGAAGATTTCAGGATGGGTTCTCAACAGTTCTGTTTACGTTGGAGCAATCATAATAGCAACATGCTAGCAATGTTTGAAGGGCTGCTTTGTAACGAGGCTCTCGTGGATGTGACTTTGGCATGCGAAGATGATAGTTTGAAGGCTCACAAAATGGTGTTATCTGCGTGTAGTCCATTCTTTCAAAGTCTCTTCATTGATAACCCCTGTAAGCATCCGATTGTGATTTTGAAAGATGTGAAATATTCTGAGCTCAAGAGTATCATTGATTTCATGTATCGGGGGGAAGTTCATGTTTCCCAGGAGCATTTATCATCCTTGCTTAAAACTGCTAAGTTTTTAAAAGTGAAGGGTCTTGTGGAAGTGACATCCAGTAATCGTTATATGAATCTTCAAAAGCAAAAAATGTCAGGACAACAGGAAAAACAATTACAAAGGGTTGACTCGATGACTGAGTCTCTAGAGCCTATTTCATCACAATCACTGAGAATCGTTAATAGTTATTCAACCTTTCAGGCTCATCCTCAGTCTGGTAAAATTGCTGTTCAGAAGATTAAAAAGAAGCGTGGAAGACGACGTAAAACCGATCCTTCTTTCTCAGTTAGTACTAGTAATTTCAGAGATAGTACTGGGAAGCCCCAAACAGATATTTATGCTAAACGCCCTAGAGAAGATAGCACTGAACTTAATAGTACAGCCCCAAGAGTAACCCGACCCAGGCGTAATGCAAAAAAAACATCCTTGGACTCTCAGAATTTTACAGACACCTCTCTGACTGACAGTTCTGAGAATGAAGAAAACACTGCCGCAGATTGGAATGATCAGAATCAGATTTATTCTGAGAGAGCTCATATACAGGATGACGAGGGAAGAGGAATTACTATAGTAAGTAATTTATTTTTTATAATATGTAACTTTCTAGAAAATTACATGACAAATGAATGCTTTAATCTATTTATGTGTTTTATGTACTGTTTAAAAATGTATCTAATGTAACTGTAAATTTCTTATTTGAATAATATGGTAATCATATTGAAACTCTACCACTGTACTTCTGGAACTGGTTTGAAGCATCAAAATATTAGAAGTAGTATTATTACTAAATCTCATGTTCTCTGACTAAAGCATTCTACACTTCATAAACAAGTTTTTTTGATTGACTGTCAGACAGTACATAAATTGAAGCCATCAGCTGTAAGTGGTGCTGGTGACTTAGGAATGAAATGAATGAATGAGAAACACTCCTCTTAAAAGCAGGAGTGACCAAGTTTTTTAACAGTTGTACCAATTTTACATTCTGAATTTAGAATAAATCTTCACTGACTGAAAAACACTTCAAACTAAAGTCCATAGAAGTGGAAAGGATGGGTTACAGCAGTCAGATTAAAAGTTGTTACAAACTAAATGAAATGATTAATAATATGACATTATTTTTATAACATTTAATATACTTGCAATAAATTTCAAGCAATATTTTTGCTATGTGCCACAACATGTGATATTTTCTAAACAACAGGTATGCTGTAAGTTTTTGTCTTGCATGCCCTGGTTTTGCCACCTCTGATCTGTGTTAATATTATATATTCATCATCATTGTTATGACTATATATCAGTACACAAAATAATAATAATTACCTGAAAGTTTTATAACAAGTTCACACAATGTTTTAGCTTTAATTCTAACCACATTTTAAGAATTTTATTTCATATTTTGAAGGATGTGCTGATATATTTGTGAACATTGAAAAGCCTTTTTTCTCTTTATCTGTAGTGTTCAGTGTATTAGGGATAACACCTTGACACTGGTAGATTTTCCTTACTTTTTTTATTTAAACCTACAATCTCATCTAATTGTAGCCTTTTCTTTATTACTGGAGATTAAATCAATTTTCAGTTCAATACCATTAAGGTGAGATTCCATGAACTAGGAATTGGTGGAAAATATCCAGCTTTTAGTTAAAACTAGACCACTGTAACCTGTTGGGTCAACCACTATTCAGAGGTTATGAAGAATTCAAGCTAATTTCAATATTGCACTGAAATGAAGGTTTATTTTGAGATAATGTAATTAAATATTTCAATCCAATCGTGTTATTCATAATTAAAGAAAAGATATTTGATTGTTGATCGGGAGTAAAAGGAAAGACCATTTAATTTTTCAAAAAGTTAAGTCAGAGTTTTCAGGTATTATGATGAATTAGTTCATTATGTTGTGGTCTTTCCTCTTAATCCTTCTACAAATAAGAAACAGTAACACTTTATTTTTTCTTCGAATTACCTACCATAACCAAGTTACATTATTGAAAAATTCTTCAAGATCTTGTTTTTGTCATCTTACGCCTTTTAATGAAGATGGGAACATTGATAGGGAAATAGATTTGAACGAAGAAGTTTCGTAAAGAGCGCGAACTGTAGTGTGATGTAAAATTACTCATGCTAGAAATTTTCATAAAAGTGACCCAAAAAATAGCACTAACTCAGTAAACTGTGGCCCGTTTTTAACGAAACTTGTTTTATTCTGTTTCTATTCTCGTTTCATTACAAATATGGCACTATTGTGCATCATTTTTGCTGTATTTAATTACAGACAAGCAAACAAACAATCTCAGAGTTTTAGTAGTATATAGATCTAGTTTGTCAGTATCAGTAACTTGAGTTTCTAATTCATACGAAACTATAGACTTAGTATTTTAATTTCACAAACATCTAATTTGAACCAGTGCTGCATTCAACATACCACGTGACACACAAAAATTGGTGTTTATCTGTGTTTTTTAATATTACTTTTAAATTAAGAAATTGAGTAATGTATAGTTCTAAAGTTTGAATTATTATCTACAGTTTGATACCAAACTTATTGACATAAATTCATAAAATAGTAGTTCAATAAAATTTTGAATGCAAGTTAATAAACGAAATGACATGGCCTTTCACCCATGACCCGTCTTGAAAGGGTTAAATCAACATCATTTAATGTTATTTCAGAATTCAGTGGTCCCAGCACAGATCCCTGACTGAGTTAAATCAACATCGTTTAATGTTATTTCAGAATTCAATGGTACAGCACGGATCCCTGACTGAGTTAAATCAACATTGTTTAATGTTATTTCAGAATTCAATGATCCCAGCACAGATCCCTGACTGAGTTAAATCAACATTGTTTAATGTTATTTCAGAATTCAATGGTCCCAGCACAGATCCCTGACTGAGTTAAATTAACATCATTTAATGTTATTTCAGAATTCAATGGTCCCAGCACAGATCCCTGACTGAGTTAAATCAACATCGTTTAATGTTATTTCAGAATTCAATGGTCCCAGCACAGATCCCTGACTG